GATCATGACCTGAGCCGAAGTCGGATGCTTAACTAACTGAGCCATCCAGGCGCCCCATCTTTTTAATTTTTTTTATGTTTATTTTTGAGAGAGAGAGAGAGAGGCAGAGCATGAGCAAGGGAAGGGAAAGAGAGAGAGGGAGACACAGAATCCGAAGCAGGCTCCAGGCTCTGAGCTGTGAACACAGGGCCTGATGTGGGGCTCGAACTCACTAACTCTGAGGTCATGACCTGAGCCAATGTCCAACAGTTAACCGACTGAGCCACCCAGGGGCCCTTCTACTCATTTCTTCTTGTGCCTAACATTCTTCAATAGCCCCTCTGCTTCTAAAAATTGAATTTCAGATTCCCTATCTGGCATTCTAGGCCTGCCCCTTTAGACCCCAGCAGCTCTCACCCTGCTCTGAGGGGCTCTTTCTGGGGCCATTGGGCCCCAGCAGCTGGGTGACTCCTCTGGCTTTGCTAATGCAGGCCCTGCCCCTGGGCTGACCCTCTCCTTTCCTGAGGCCCCTTGCCTCTGGGTCACCCCTTCATGATCCACACAGCACAGTGGTCTCCTGTGCGCTGACTGTGACACCTCCAAGGCCTTGAGGAATTTCCTTTTTCATTTACTAAAAGCAATACCTAACTGCTTACATACTTGTGATCTTCTCAAGTCTTATTTCTTTGCATCCCTCCTTCTTGGCCCCCAACACTCTGCCCTGGTTTTGTTGGATTTTCTTGTTAATCTTGAGTTGGGTAAGCATCACGCTTTGCGACACAGAAGACTGCATTGCATAGAGGGCTCCACAGGGTCACCGGGCTGCACCATCACCTCCAGATCGCCTGACCCTGCTCACCTTCCCCAGGAGGGGTGGCAAAGGACTTACCGATCAGATGACTCCTGTCCATCCTGATGGCTGGCTTTGGGGGGGGCAGCAGAGCCTGTAGACACCTGCTGTCCTGTAGACCTTTTGCTGTCATTGCAGAAATGCTCTGGACCTGTGCTGTCCAGGTTCGTAGCCACTAAGCACATGTAGCTCTGGGTGCCTGGAAGGTTGCTCGTGAGACTGAAGAACTGAACTTTTTAATTTTAATTCATTATTTATGATATTATGATTTA